ATGAGCTGGTGGCCTATGTTTAATATATAGATTTTAAATAAAGGAAACTTGTCTTTCCTGTTGATTCAGTCTGTTGTTTTGATGTACTTTACAAACACTGTGTTCATGCCTGCCTCCATTTCTTTAGAAGCATGCTTGTATGCAAAGCACGAAGCATCAAACTAAACAAGACTGAATTGCAAAAACTGAATATGCTGAGGTAACTGAGGGTGTGCAGTATACTGCGGTTAAAGCAGTTACATTTTACTTAATTTGCTTCTCTTACGGTCTTCAATACAGTTCTGACATGTAAGAAAAATCAATATTTTATTGCGTAACAAAGAAAGAATAAAAACAATTATGGAAGACATTTGTAGTAATAGAGGTAAAGAAAGGAAGAAAACAGAAGGTGCTAGTACGGTTTAGAAATTTTAGTAGTATACCTAGAAATTGCCCACAAAGTTCTTTTGTGAGGTTGAACCCTGCTTCAGAAATTCATGTGGTATTGCATTGACATCCATTTGCTTTACTCTTTAAAAAAAAGTGTGTTTAGTGTTTTGCAAAAAGTGCAAGGCAGAAAATGTGCTTATGTGCAGATCTGGACTGAGGTTTTGCTCCTTGAGTGTCTGCTGTGTGTTAAATTTTGTGTGTATAAGAAATCGGGGGGGACTGTAAACACCCAGAACTTTACGTTTAGTCCATTCGGGCCCCGCTGCCATGGCTTCTTACTCCTTTGGTGCCTTTGGCCTCTTTGATCCATGCTTGCAAATAGCAACATCTTTAATAGGTGGATGAGGACTGGTTGCTAATTAAATAGTTGTGCAAAGGAGTTTTACACAGCTGCATTAGAGATTCGTAATTATGCAAGTAATTTCAATCAACTGCGAATAGATGTTTTCCTGTATGTTATAACAGTTAATCCAAAACAGTTAATCCTTTGAGTTTAAAGCCTTTCTATGAGATACATGTTAACTGTTTTGAAAAAGGATTCGGATCACATGCACATTTCTTAGTCAAATAAATGTTGAGGAGTGTGAAGGTTCTTTTTCCCGCTAACCTTCTCTCTGTGTTCACCATTTCTGTGATGCATCATTTACATACTGATGCTACTTTTACATTTCCTTTTGAAGAGCAGATGTAGATTATCATCAACCTTTTGCATGTTATCATTTGCTATATTTAAAGTGGCTGCTTGCAGGCAGAGTGCAAAACATCGGGCACTGGTGTAGGAACTCATTCAGGTGGAATCTTGCAACTTTTCAAGGTAAAATTTGTCATTTAAAATTTTTCTTATATGGAGAGCGTATTAAACAGATAAATGTACATACAAACTTTAACAAGCAGACAGTTTTTTATTCCTATGTTTATTTTATTTCTTACCTTAAACCACTTTGAGGAAATAGCTTAAAAGATAAAAGCTTGTAAGCGAGAGTATTTTACATTAATTAAAATGAGGAAAAAAGAATGAGCATGCACAATTGACAGGAGACAGAGACAGAAGGGACATGAGGACATTGGGAGACGTGGATGATGTGCATCTAATGTTTATTCATAATATCTCATGATAAACATTAATGAGAACATAAAATATGCAGTGAACATCTTGTAAAATATGAAGTAGATTAATTAGTCATGTAAACCTCGTCATCTAAACTCAGAGGGCAGAGGGGAGTTCAACAAGTGGTGGGGCATCGAGTACAGGCAAGATGTCCTGAACATAGTATAAACATTAAATTACTGGAGCAGCTGGACGATGTTCTGTGGCTGCAGTAATGACCTCACATCAGCACATAAAAGTATTTAACCAGAACTTGTTAGGGCCCAAGGTCCCTATTGAATTTGCTAAGATTATTATTTTTTGTTTCATTTTTTTTTTTTCTGCAAAGTAGGCTCCATTGACAGGGCCTAAACATACTCGAAAACTCACCAAAATTTGCAAACATGTCAGAACTGGTGAAAAATTTCGTATTTTATGGGTTTCGCACATGGGCGTGGCAAAATGACTCGCTAGCGCGACCTAGAAAATTGGAATAGATTATCCCCTCGTTCACATTCAACCTACATGTACGAAATTTTCTTGGGACATGTATCATATCAAGACGCACAAAAAAGCCTCAAGAACCCATACCCTAAAGTCATCAGGAAGTCAGCCATTTTTTGGATGATTTACACACTCCATACTTTAACAACTCCTCCTAGGGATTTAGTCGGATCAACGTCAAATTTCTGGTGTGCCTTCTAAAGGCATTGACGCTGAAAAGTTGTGCTATTTGCGAGTTTTCGTCAATGGCCGTATCCGTGGCGTCAAAGATCAACTCTTCGCCACGACACAGGAAGTTGTTGTAACTTCAGTGTACATGCTCACATCTAAACCAAACTTTACGTGCTTGATAACTCTCCCACCCCGTAGACATCTACACACCAATACCGATTTATATTCATAGCGGCAAGTGCTATGTAGCTCCACATAGGGGACACAGGAAGTGACATATAGCACCTTCATGCGGCGTTGGAACCGCGTAGGAAATTCACAGCCGCACAGGCAGAGCTCGAGAATGTGCAACGCGGGCGGCTCACACCCGGACGCGCTACAAGTGCGAGGGCCCGCCCAACGCTGCTTGCAGCTTTAATTTTTTTTTTTTTATTTCGATGAAATAAATGTTAAATGTAACAAATGATGAGGAATGATGATAGAAACTGAACAGACAGCAGTTTGTGACTTGATGTGATTGTGGGTAACCTAAAGTTCCGTCGGTTACGACACTATGGGAACGCCTCTAGGCGAAGCAGGTCTGAATGTGAATGAAATCACTCCAATTCTATTGGTTTGTTGCTAGAACGGTAAAGTGTGACGGAATAACCGGAGGAGTATAAAGCACACCTGTACACACTCATCATTAGCTTTTTTCTATTCAGCAGGCGCTCTGTATGTTGTTTGAAGAAAGCTCCAGTCCTACAAGCAGTGTGTCTTACCAGAAGAAGAAGAAGTCTACCAGCATGCCCGGCAACCAGATGTACAGAAGGTGTTTTTCCTTGCCCTCGGTACATCACGGATGGAGATTCTCATGAGATGTGTGGGGGGCTGCCTGCGGCCGTTGCGAAGCCCTTTCCGTGCGGGTACTGAGGTACAGCATGGCTCTCTTTTCCGAGGATGGCCGGATGTGTTCTCCCCGTGGCGGCAGCCCGGCAGCTTCACTCATGGGGTTCACAGTGTGATCTGTAAGAGGATTTCGGGATGGCTGAGGCTTTTTCCCGACCTTCATCCGCTGGCTCCGAAGCTTCCTTTCCTCGTTCTCAGCTTCTCCCGCTCACGGTTTGGATCCGGAGACGCTGCAGCAATCCGACTCCGAGGAGGCGGACGTGCTCAGCGTAGTGGACGATGACTTCCGGGAGTCGGTGCAGCGTCATCAGGCGGCCCGACTATGACGAGCTGCTGGAGGTGGTGACTAGAGCCGTGGCTAAGCTCAACATCAACTGGCCACAGGAGGAGCAGACACCACAGGCTAGTGGTAAGCTTGATGAAAGGTTTCTTAAGCACCACGCGCCACCTCCACGCCAGTCTCTGTCATTCTTTCCTGATTTACATGATGAACTGAGTAAATCATGGGGCAGATTTTTTTCCGCACCACTGAACTACAGTAATGTGATGGGGGTTAGGGACCATGGTTATGGGAGGATGCCTCTGGTGGAGGATGCGCTTGCGAGCTATCTCTCCCCTCGACTTGCGTCCTCCCTGGAGAAGCCGGCTTTACCCTCCAAGCCATTTCGCACTACACCTACGCTCGTGGGGAAGGCGTACATGGTGGCGGCTTGCACACCATGGCGGTGCTTCAAGCCTACCAAGCCAACCTGCTACAGGAGATGGTTCAGAGGGGGGGTCCCTCTGAGGAAGATCTGGCGGAGCTTCGCAGAACCATGGAGCATTAAGACGCAGGGCGAAGCGTTCCGCCAGTACCTCCCTCGCTGGTCTGGACCCAAGGCAACTCAGGCTGCCAGGCGTAGGTCCCTTCCCTCTACGAGCTCCTACCGAGAGGAGAGGAAGCAGAGTGTCGCTTCTCGGGGAACCCCCCCCCGGGGAGCTGGGGCAGCGAGACGGCGCTCTCAACCTCAGCATTCTGAGAGACGCGATCTGAGGACCGTCATCCAGTCCCGACGGAGCTCAGGGAAGAGGTCCTGAAGACCGGGGTAGGGGAGCCTTTTCTCCCCTCCCGCACCCCCACGCCATCACTATAAAACACTTTCAATGAGTGTTGGGTCTCCTGAGGGAGACTCTGAGGTCTCATCTCTACACTCTGAGGTCCTCCCGCTGGAGGAAGGTTGACCAGCTGCTAGTGTGTTTGGGTACCCCAGGGCTGGGCTCCCTGCACCCAAACATACTATTAGCAACTGGATTGTTGAGACTATGTCCCTGGCCTATCAGGTGCGCGGTTTGCCTTCACCTGTGGCTATGAGGGCTCATTCTACCAGAGGCATGGCGGCCTCTCGAGCCCTCCTTTCCGGGGCCTCTTTGCAGGATGTTTGTGTAGCGGCTGGCTGGGCCATTCATTCGGTTTTACAGTCTTGACCTTCCTTCGGCACCTGGCACTCATGCGCTCTCCTCTTAGTCATGCCACTTTATTGCACACTGGGACAGGCGGGGTTTTCGGCACGGTTTAGTGGGTATCTCGTTCCCATAGTGTCATAACCGACGCAGTTAGAGTTCCCTCGAAGGGGAACGTCTCGGGTTACGTATGTAACCCTGGTTCCCCGAGAAGGGGAACGAGACACTGCGTCGGCCCGCTGCACCTCTCTCCCCGCCTGAAGCGCCTGCTTCATAGTTTAAGCTAATGATGAGTGTGTACAGGTGTGCTTTATACTCCTCCGGTTATTCTGTCACACCTTACCGTTCTAGCAACAAACCAATAGGATTGGAGTGATTTCATTCACGTTCAGACCGTTCAGAGGCGTTCCCATAGTGTCGTAACCGACGCAGTTTCTCGTTCTCCTTCTCGGGGAACCAGGGTTACATACGTAACCCAAGACGTACACTGTGTTTGTGTGAACTTGCACCCCACAGCTTTAGTGATGTCACTGAACAATGTTAGGTGCTTATTATAAACCCCTGCTCCCTTTTAAATAACCTGATCTCTCAAACAACAGGTTTTACTCTGAAGAATGGAAGATTTCTACAATAACAGCAGCTCACAGGACCAAAGCTCTGATTACAGCCACAGTGATTTTAAAAACAACTCCCATCAGTACTACGACTTACCACTCACCAAGAATGTGACATACATAATCGTTGGTATCGGCCTTCCTTTGACCCTCATGGCCATCTATGCTCTTTATTCTACAGTATGTACATTATTACTGAGATATATATATATATATATATATATATATATATATATATATATATATATATATATATATATATATATATATATATAATATATATTTTTTATTTTTTTTTCTGGGGGGGGGGTAAATCAAGGAAATGTGTGAAGATATGTGAACATTCATTTTGGATTTTGACAACTATTTGATGGATCACCATAAATAATGACTCATTAATGGAGCCCACAGTATTGCATCTAGAATAGTATTATTAACTCTTTAATAATTAATAATAATTCACTTTTTTTATTTATCACCATCATCAGGTGATAAACTTTAATTTGTCCAGCACTAAAACTAATGACATTGCCATCAGCCTAAGCTGTGTTTTGTTTATTACTGATTAGCAGGTTTGCTAACATGCTACCCTAAGATGGCAAACATGCCAAACATTACCTACTAAACAACATCTCTAATATAAGAAAAAAGACAAGGAGAGTCTTATAACCTCTTGGCAGTAGTCTGTAGACTATTTTAGTACAGATCTCAGAGCTTTCAGTCAGATATAGATAGTCACATAACATATATTGGAAGGAAACAACAAAAACAGAGTAAATTTTAATTTTATCTTACCGTCAAGAGCAAATGATCTGACCAGACTCTACTGCCAGTGTGACAGAAGAGTCAGAGCTACACAGGGCCCCAAACACCAGGCTATGTGTAAGTCGCTTTGGACAAAAGTGTCTAAATGAATAAATGTAATGTTAACGATTGGCCAGTGTGTCATATCTGAGATTTCTGACAGCACATAGGAGAGTTTGATGAAAAAGTCAGAAATGGCTCTGACTGCAGCTGCAGAGCCAGATGACAGATTTGGGAGGAGGTAGACTTCACAACATGTTTACAACTGCTTGTTTACTTTTACCTGCAGGTGAGAAGTGATCATGTTGCTCCGATCTACGTCATCAATCTTCTCATGTCTGACCTCCTTCAGCTCTGCTGCATGATTGTTCATGTGACACAACCTCAGGATGGGAAGATATCTCAAATATTCTATTATATTTACTACTTTGGTTTATTTACCAGTGTTTACTTCATGGTCTGCGTCGCCCTGGAAAGGTATCTGTCTGTCTATCCAGTATGTGTGGAGCTCCTTCTGTGTCTGAACATTATATTAGTTTATAACTCTGAAGCTCCTCAAAGACTTTGTGTCCATCTTGTATTACAGGTATTTGGTCATGGCCCACCCGCTGTGGTACCGCTACAGACGAACCATCAAGACCTCTGTGGTGTTCTGTGTCCTGGTCTGGGTCATTACTCTTGTCTGTGGCGTCCTTTACTATGTCTTTAAGGGTTATGAAGTCACAAAAATAATTTTCCCTGTCTTCCTCCTCCTTCCCTTCCCATTGTTAATCTTCTTCCTGGTTGGGACCCTCAGAGCCCTGTCTGCTGCCATGTCGGTCCCCTCTGATGAAAAGCGACGCATTGTGGGAATTTTGGTTCTGGTGCTGCTTATTTATACACTGCTGTTCCTGCCCAACATAATTTTCTACTTGGTCATATATGACAAGACCCTTGACATCCTGTCTTTAATCTTTGTTAGGTTCAGTCCTCTTGCAGACTTAGTCCTGTATGTCTTCATGAGGAAGGGGGCCATAGACAAGCTTTTGGCTTCTGTGTGTTGCTGCAGAATGGACAGAAATGAAATCAGCAGTCCATCAGTATGAATGATGACAACATTTCCACAGTCAGCTTCATGTAGGCAGAGAAAGAGGGAGAGAGAGAAAGGGGAGGAAACAGGAGGAGAAATGTAGGCGAACAGAAAGGATGGAGACAGATCCTGTCATCTATTGATACGATTTCCAACACGCGTAGATCACAGGAAGCACTGTTTGGACTGTGCTGTGGGAGAACTGGCTTCTGGGAAATGTTTTGATGAACTTGCTCTGGTTCACTGTGATGGCTTCAACACATGTAAATAAAATGTTTTTATTAGTTTGTAAATGTAAGTTGATGTCTATCAATATTCTCTTTTAATCACAGAAGCAAAGCAGATATTATTTTGTATTAACTGAGCTCTTTATAGCCGCCTCGTTGTCTTATTCCTAAATCTTTGATCTGTTTGTTGTATGTTTAACACAGGGAGAGCATGTCAACACGTCTTTAGGACTTTTATACATTTTACTTTTCCTACCCCAAACTGTATTTTTTTCAAATAATTTATTTCAAGTTTTTTTTATTTTTTTTTTATTGTTTTGATGGTAGACATGCTAGGATGTGATTTAAAGCAGGAATTTTGCAAAAGCTGTTGGCAATATGAATAACATCTTAAACCACAGTATGTCAGTTTATGAGATTGTACATTTTCTAGAAATCCAATAAAAACAATTTCTAGACAAAATCTGAATATTTGTCTTTGACCAACTCTGACATGTCTCCTGCATCCTGCACTTTCTTTTCAAACAACCAAATCTTGTGTTCTCACAACTCTTAACGTTTTCAGACTTTTTTAGATAATGATTTGGGGTAGAAATAATAGTGTGACGGTGATACAGAGACAGTCATAACAGATAAAGGCAAATTTTTTCAATATAAATTAGTATAGTTTTTTTTTTTAATCAGTTAAACTACACGTAACTAAATGAACAGGTGGATTAAATGTTAAACAATTTCAAAGAGTCCTGTCTCAGTCAGTCAGTCAACAAGTCACATTCACAGACATAGATAATTTATTGATGAAGTAAAAATAATGAAAACAAATAATTAAAGTAAAATACTAAAGTAAAAGTAAAGTAGGCCTACAGTAAAAATACTAAAGTGGCTTTTAAAATAACTAAATAATATCTTTAAAGTAAATAAAATACTAGTTCTATCTTTGTCCTATTGTAACGCTGCAGGAGCCAAATTTCTTGCTTTGATCAGTGTTAGGTTTGAGAGTGTGGTCACTACCATAAAATACAATATTACTGTAGTAATTCAGAGAGAATATCCTACATTAAATAAACAAACACAGCCTTTCTAGACTTTCACTGCACACTCATGGGGATTAAAACTACAGCATGAAATCAATGAGATGTTTTGGTGCTTGGGCTGCAGCTATATTTTCTGTAAACCACCAGATGTCACTGTACATACACTGAACAAAATTAGCAACATCATGAGCTGAACTCAAAGATCTAAGACTTTCTCTATGTACACAAAAGGCCTATTTCTCTCAAATATTGTTCACAAATCTGTCAAAATCTGTGTTAGTGAGCACTTCTTTGCCGAGATAATCCATCCACCTCACAGGTGTGTCATATCAAGATGCTGATCAGACAGCGTGGGTATTACACAGGTGTGCCTTAGGCTGGCCACAATAAAAGGCCACTCCAATATCCAGAGACCAGTCAGTATCTGGTGTGACCACCATCACCATCTGGTGTGCCTCACGCAGTTTGCCAGCTCCGCCCCTCCCTCTGCTCAGCCGTCCACTCACAAACTCTCTAACAACATTTTCGCCGACTTTATATAGCCTAACTTAGCTTACTACTGATGGACAAAGTCAGACACACAGGGAGTGAGAGATGGAAAGAAGCGGGGCGTGCTGGCGTGTTTGCAGCAGAGGTAACTTACGTTAGGTCTGTGAGTGTGAGGATAATTAAAACGGTCAAATAAGAAAAAAACTAAGTTACAACAAATAGTAAAAACATGCCCGCTGTTTCTGGTCATGTCCTGTTTGTGTTTTGCATTGGTTCTGTTTGGTTCAGTAATCTCGGTCTTTTGTCCGTGACTCTGCCTCTTGTCTGTGTCTGCCCTGATTGTCCTGATGTGTCTCCGCTTTAGTTGATTACCCCACCAGGCCACAAACACCAGACATCTCCTAAGTGCACACACAACCGACAGCTAGCGTATTCACTAAATTTGATAAAAAGACATATTGGATTAGAATTGCTTATCGCACCTTTAATACAGCTCTGATGCGGCTGTAGGAGAGAGAATAGTGAGAATGACATCAGTGCCACCGGTAAGTCCTGTACGTCAGCTGTGGGTGTTGGTGGTAAGTCAAACATGGAAACACACTGAGCAGTCATTTCCTTTGTGGCTGCTTTCTTGGCTGCGTCTGCTCCGGCTGCTCCGGCATTCCCCTGTCAAACAGAATTTATTTTATTAGTGTGAGCCTCACCTTTTCGGATGCAACATGTTTGGGCAGCAGCACAGCAAGTTGTTTTGACCACGTCTACATGCCTAAATGCATTGAGTTGCTGCCATATGCCATATAACAGGCGTAATTCTCAGTCCACTTTCCACCTCTCCATCTTCCGTGACCTCGCACTCTCGCTTTTCCTTCAAAACCGTGGATTTAAGCCATCTTGTTTGCATGAGACCAGGGCAGAGACCCTGACAGTGTTGGAGGCTTAGGCGAGATTTTTAGATTGACTGACTGCTACTATAGCTAACATCACAACAACAGCATATCTTGGCCAACTTTGAGGTAAGGTGAATGTCAGGGGGGCAGGTCATTTAACATTACCTGACATCAGTGTTACTAGTAACGCGTTACTGTAATAATATTACTTTTCGCAGTAACTAAGTAGTGTAACTACCTAATTACTTTTCTAAAACGGTAATATTATTACTAGTTACTAAGGCAAGTAATGCTGCGTTACTCATTACTGAACGCACCATCCTTGGCCTGAAAACTAAAGGATGGAGAACGAGGGAGAAAGGCATTGTTTCCACAGCTGTAAGTAGCTACTGCCATTATTGTGTCACAGTCTAAGATGCAAAGAACATGTCATCTATTGTAAACTTCTATTTCTTACTCTACCCCTCATATGCATAAACACAGTCGGTACTGACCCCTGTAAGTCCTATATGTCAACATAGAAACACGTTGAGCAGGCATTTACTATTTTGTTGCTGCTTTCGTGGCTGCACTGCTCTGGCATTCCCCTGTGAATCAGATTTTCTTTGTGTGTGTGTAGAGTGCAGCAACCAGCTGTTTTCCCATTACATACAGTTAAAGAATTACTTATCGATATGCAGTATGTCATAAGCAGCCTGGATGGAACGCAGAAGGTAATACAACACTCACTCAACACACATTGACATAACAATAACCACGAGAGACTCAAGACTTGATTTGGACTAGTTCAGAGACTTGTAAGCATCTCTGTGAGATAGGCTACATTCAGACTGCAGGCCAAAGTCACCCAAATCCGATTATTTTGCTCATATGTGCCTCAGATGTGATCTTTTATAATAGTGTGAACAGCCCAGTTCGGATTTGGGCCGCTTTCATGTCTAAAATGATCCAATCGGATTTGGACCAAATAGTCTGAACACTCAGATCGGAATTGATGCGACTTTGACGTCACTCTAGGACAGCTGTTGTGTAAAACTCAGAATTAAACATGTAGCTCTTTGGTTGCTTTCATCTGCTCACAAATTCCCTTTCTTCCACCTGAAATCCACCGGACCGCAAGCTCTCTTCTTAGTTATGTGCATGCTACTTATCCGTGCGGCCTGACTGTATATAAAAATAGACCTAGTGTCCGTGACGTCACCTGTTGGTTTTTGAAGAGCAGTTTTGAAGCTCAAAGGTTGGCCAGCGCCATCTTGGCAGCGCATCACCGTGCGTCACTCTCAGATAACCAAAAATGGACAAAGAGGCCGGTTGTGGGTGGAGCTGAGGTTACGAGTTGCTGAAACCACTCAGCAGCTCAGGCTAAGGAGCTAATGCCATATGCTACTCTGCGTTAGCAGAGGTAGCTTCTAAACACCCGGGGCTGTATGGTGGAGGTTGGAACCCGTGGCTGTGTTGTTACCAGTTTATGGTCGTTACCAGCTCACAGTGAAGGGAAGACATATCTATTATTTACATTATACTTCACAACACTTTAAATGCTTTTTAATAAATAATGTGCTAACTTTATTTTATATAAAAGCAGTTATCACCTTAAAATCCTACATCTACTAAGTGTGATAACTTATTGATGACTCTCTAAATGTCCTTCAGTATGTACTTCGAATCAATAATCCCCACTGATGAACCCCACAAAGAATAGTATAACGTTATCGTTTTTAAACTGTAACGTTATACTTGGAGGTGCACGGCTCTCCTCAGCGAGCAGGCTGAACTCTGCAGCCTCTCCCCCCTTGGCTCTCTGCCTTTAAACCCTTCGTGTTCCTCCGGTTCAGGTGCAGCCACTTATGACAGTATCTGACTAGTACCTAACTGAACAGTGACTGCGTTACAGTACGAAGCCAAATCTAACTTTTCCATCTGCAAGATGGCGGAGTGGAACAACTTCCGGTTCAAGCGAGGAGCGAGGAAATGACAAAGAGACTTGAGAAGCTCCCAGAGTGTACTGCTTGTTGCTTTGAGCTCAAGCTGCAGATTAGCCACCTGGCTAACAGAAATAGAACAGAAAGTACTGAACACTTGTCATAATTCGGGAGAAATGTGACCTATGAGAGGACAATGAAATATGGTAGTTTCCTGTAAAAATTGGGAGGGTAAGCAAGGATAAGCTAACCAAAGCTAACCTCTGTGGCTCCTTGTTTACTTCTGTATGACAGCGTGCTGCTGCGTGTGACATAGTGTTATTCTTCTGCGCATGCGGGTCACTTTCAGGCCGTGGACTATTCACACTGGAGTCTGATATGCGCCACATTTAAACAGTAATGTGAAACCCTAAACTAAAAAATTGGATCTGGGGGAAAAAATCGTAATTGAGTGTTAAGGCCTGCAGTCTGAACGAAGCCATTGTCTTGTCATCGGAGGAGTCGAGAGAAGGAAAAACTCCAGATTTATATCCACCTTTAACTGAAACATCACATAGGTCGATAGTTTTGTTCAATCTGGTAGGGCAAGAAATATATTGATAGAAGTTGCTCATTGATTTCAGATTAAGGATGAGGATGAGAAAAAGATGAGACAAGGGGCATCTTGGCTCATCCTTAGCTCAACTTTGTCGGTCACACGGTCTGAGGGGAATGAGGGGGATTAGCTGAGAAATAACGTAGCGATAATGCTCAGCAGAGTTTTGGGGAAGTAGACACATTCATATAATTCAGCATCAAAGATTTCTTAAATACAGTTAAAATCTCGTCCTGTCTTGATCTCTTGAACCCAGTCTCGTTTCTTGTCTCGTATCGTGGGTTAAGTGTCTCGTCACAGCCCTAGTAAAAATCCTTTTGAGTAGCCTACTGCCCGCGTGCAAATAGCAAGGATCAAACTAACAACTAACAACTAACTTGAAAATGGGATGTTGCATCTCAAGGGGTTATCCATAATAAATTGAAGTTGAAATTGTTTGTCAGCCATTGTGTTTGTAAAACTTCTGAAGCTGCGCTGAAGATATTCAGCTTGAATAAAGAAGTCAATAATTTGCCCTTTTAAGTGAGCGCGTGCGT